GAGTAAGTGTAGGTGGAGAAGGATTTTCCCAAGCCTCAGCCAGGAAGAGTGGGAACACGGTGATCTAATGCAGTCGCCTGCCATAGCACATAGATTTGACACTAACAAGTACCTTGTGCTGCCTGGGGCAGATGGACTGACCCTAAGGAGGACCAGAGAAAATGGGGCTGTGCCTATGAGCTTGCATTGTCTTTCACGTATGAAACATCAGCCAGAGATCACTGGCCAACTCGCCACTAAATTGGCACGTGTATGAATTCCAGCAGGAAGGCTGGAAAATTCAGTCTCAACTTTGGCAAAGAAGTTCATTCTCCAAAGCTTGGTCTTGCTGATCTCCTAAATAAACTGTCTTTATCTTGCAAGATACAGTCTCTGCCTATATTCAGAACAGCCAAAAACAAATAGGTAAGGACAATCACAGCCTCTTAGTCAACCTCATACTGACTCCCTCTATATCCCTTATGTGGGAAACTTGGAACAAAAGCAACATGGGCATACAGTCCCCTTATATCCGTAACATCAGAGATAAAGGAGGAACTGGGTATTGTTTATACTCAAGGGGGAAAAATGCGTATTGCTCTGTTAGGAATGCTTTAAACAGAGACTTTCAAGAAGTACACACCTATGAAGTAGCAACCCCATAGACTGGAAGGTTCTGGAGCAGTACAGACCGGAAAACAGACACGTATTGAACACCAACCACAATCAGGGTGCCGTCCTAGATCACTCAGGTAAGCTCCCTCTGGGGCAGTTCTCACCCACAGAATAGGTATCATAAGTTCAAGGACAAGGTTAGCAAAGGGAACCTGCTCAATGCATGGTTCAGAGAGATGCTATGGTGCTTAGGGGAGACCTGATCCCATGATGGAGAAAGCTACACAGAGGAGGGGGCACATGACACAGTAATATAGGCAGGATGGAATTTCTCTAGAGCTCTGCCCCCTACCCCAACCCTCTGGAGAACATTTTAAAAGTACATAGATTCCTGAACCCATAGCAGACCTATGAAATCAAAGGCTCTAGGTGTGTTACGCTGGGATCTATCTGCATTCTGTTGTCATTGTGGCAAAAAAATACACAGAAGTAGATGAAAGAATGACCTCCAAATACCTATCATTCGGCTTCAGCAATCATCAACCCGTGACCATTCTTTTTTTTTAATCTATACCCTTATCTATTTCCCCTCCTCTAGTATTATGGAATTGGTATTTTTTTTTTAAACCTGGGACTCTGAGACAGATCCTGGATGTGAATTGGGAAACAATCATTAAGACAAGGGAATCCCAGGGCCAGAGGGAACAAAGGCACAGAGAAATGAAAGAGAACAGTATTTGCAGTAGAATAGCAAGTAATCTGGAGAACTAAGAGGGTAGGATCCATGTTTAGGGTGCTGATAAAATTCAAAAGATCATCAGGGGCCACTAGGGCCCTGTTAGCACATGAGGTGTCTTTGTGAGAAACACAATGCTAAAGCTCACCTTGAAACTTAACTGCCATTGTGATGGTACTGGGAGGTAGGTAAGTTATGTGGGCTCTGGCTCATGAGTGGACCAATGCCATTGTCCCCAGAGTGAGCTTACCTTATCTTGCATAAGCCCCTCATCTCCGCCCTCCCTTCCTCTTTCCACCATTGTTTTTGGTCTTGGATCACATGGTGCCTTCCACCATATTATGACACAGCAAGAAAGTCTCATCAGATGCTGACGCCTTGTTCTTGAATTTCCTAGCCTCTAGAACTGTGGGCCAAGAAAGCTCTGTCTTTTATAAATGACCCGCTCAGTTATTCTGTTGTAACTGCACAAAATGACCTAAGATACACAAAAAGACACCTTTGGGAAGAAAAACAAAAACACCTCTTTCTTGAGGTTGAAGCTACTCACGCAAATAGAGTGGGGCTAGATGCTGTTCCCACTCACTGCCATACCCTTCACTTCCATCCATGCCCAAACCACAGAGCTGCACAGTGCCAGGGTGGCAGGGAGTCTGAGTCCACGCAGGGGGTTGGGCTTTCTCTTATAAGGGTCAAAGGATGCTAAGAAGGGACCATATGGCAATCAGCTTTAAAATAACACTGAGCAGCAACAGAGGGGTTGGAGGACAGACTGGGAGGGTGGAAAACCAAGAGTCAGGGAGTGAGTTGTCAATAAACTGTTAAAAATCTTCCAGGGAAAGAGGGAAGAGGGCCTTAAAGGTCAAGCTTCAAGAGGTAGAGATGAGTATTTGGGGTAGAATAGCAAATAATTTGGAGAACCAAGAGGGTAAGATACATGTGAGGAACTGCTTTTGTTTGGGTTCTGGGGAGAACCTGGGAGCTAGCTATAGAGATCAGAGAATCGTGGGGCATATAGAAGCCATTCCAAGCCATGGGAAGGTTGGAATTGCCCAGGGAGAATATTTGGGGTAAGAATAAAGAGGGGTGAAGGGTCCTGCAGAAAAGTTGCATTTAAAGAATGAGACAGGAAGGTAAGGAGCCAGCCCAGGTTCTGCCATGATCAGGGAAAGGAGAACACCAGAGAGATGAAGAGAGAATAGTTCATAGAAGCCAAAAGAGCAAAAGTGGTCACAGGTGTGGTGAGAGGGAAGCAGAAATATAAGGGAAGGTCAAGTTCTGGAGCACCTAGAATAATAAGTTAAAGAGCTTGGAGTTGGACTTGAAAAGGCATCCTAACAAGTGTCACATGCACAGCAGGAAATGTCACACTTAATACTCTTAAGTGTGAGTATTACACACTTAATACTTATTTTACACTTAATATTCCTGCCACTTACCAAGAATGACCTTGGACCAATTATTCCAGAGTCTCTATCTTTGCTAGTAAACTGTGGATGACTTGTACCTGCTCTAACAGGGATGGTATTAGGGAGACATCCCAAGGAATGGCAATTTTTCTTGTCACCAGGCACTGACAAGTAGCATGGATGATCTTTCCACATCTCTAACTAGCTTTCAAATTGCTTTGGTGGCAAAGATTAGAGTTTAAGACTAATTGAAGTCAACAGTCATATTTGATATAAATTGTGTGCAAGGCAAGAAGATGAAGAATAAGAACAACAAGATAAGGGTTTAAAAAGAAGAAGTGGCCCTTTGGAGAGTTTGCAACTTAGTGAAGGACACATGTGGAGGTCTACTGCTAACAGCAGGTGCAGCAATGAGAGCATCAAATTGCAATTCATTCACCAACGACAGCGCGAGGGATAGAGAGAGTCACACTGGATGATGGGGCCAGGCAGATAGCATTGCAAGTGGCCTCTGGGCTGGTGGCTTCAAAACAAGGCATTGTTAGAATTGGGGTGAGAAGGGTATACTGGGCTGTGCCAGACACTACCTGAGATGACTCCCAATGAGCCACACCCCAGTTACCCACTCCAGCTACTTCCCTGGAGTAGATGCAACCTATGATTTCACTTTTAACAAATGGAGTAGGCAAAAAAGATGTGATGTCACTATTGTGATTACGTTACATTATATGGCAAAGGTACAGAGATTTTTGTAGATATAATTAAGGTTCCTTCGGTGGGCCTGGGTTGGGGGGTGTAGCTCAGAGATAGAACATTTGCCTGGCATGCACAAGGCCCTGGGTTCCACCCCTCACATAGCAAAACAAGTAAATAAATCAATAAGGGTCCAGGACTTCTCTGAAGTTAGTGACTTGAAGCAGGAAAGACTCTCTTGCTGGCCTTGCAGAAGCAAGCCACATGAGTTCTAAGGCTGCAAGGAAAAGAATTCTGCCATCAGCACATGGGCTTGGAATAGCAGCTCAAACTTCAGAGGAGAATGCAGCCTAGCTGACACCTCAATCACAGCCCTGTGAGACCCCGAACACAGGATGCTGGTGAGCTGGGCTCCTGCAAAACAAGGAGATAATAAATGGGTGCTGTCCGAAGCCTCTGTTTGTGGTTATGGGTTATATAGACAATAGGAAATAAATACATGGGCTCCATTGTGGAGGGCCATGATAGCACGATAAAAAGTATGGGCTTTGTTATGTGGGCTGGGGAGAACCATTCACTATTTTTTCCTTGCATTAGGAAGTTGAGAGATGACAGAAGGAAGGGAAGCCTGGGGTGGGGTTGACCAGAACCCCGCAAAGAACATTTACTCAGGCCATTGCTCTCAAGGGCAGGTTAGAAAACTTTAGGTTAAGTAACTAAGTTCTAAGTTAAACCAAGACAGCTGCTCTTCCACCCAATTAAAAAAACAAAAAAATGAGGAGGCAAAGACCAAGTAAAGATATTGATAGTCACTGGGAAAAAAAAAAAAAAAAAAACCTCAGGGAACTTCAATGTCCTTGTTGCTAATTATAAATATTTACTCCTCCCAGAATTCTTGACCTCACAGAAAAGCCTGCCTAAACAGTTATGCTCCGTTACCGGAAAGTGTGTGTGTGTGTGTGTGTGTGTGTGTGTGTGTGTGTGTGTGTGTGTGTGTTTCTTGGAAGGAATTGGGCAGTAATAAAGGACTGGACAATCTGTAAAATGTCACTTCCTGTTGGGTAATGTCTAGTTCCCACTCCCCTCCCCCATCCTAGATCATAACCCCCCCTCCCCAGTCCCCTTGGAGCAACTCCCCCTTCCCTGATTCTATCAGCTGGAGACAACTGAGCCAAACAAACTCAGGAAGTGGCAAAAGATCGGGAAGGGGAGGAAGTTCATGGCACAGAAGGAAAAAGCCAAGAGGATGCCCTGATGCTCAAGGAAGCGGGTGGGGGAGAGAGAGAAATGAAAGTCGCCCCAAGGTCACTCGGCGCCAAGCCTTTAAATGTCATCTCTGAACTTTAAATCAAAACTGGCACAAACAGTGGGTCAAATCTCCAGGGACCATTCAAATATTAACATTCACAGTGACAAACAGTCCCCCCAAAAGTCTTCTGTAAGCAAATTAGAACAAACAACTCATCTAAAGCCAGTTGCTGGGAGACCAGTTGGGAAAAGAGCCAAGTTCAAGTGGCTGGAGAAGTCTTTACTCTTTGGCTTTCAGGAAAGAGGAGAGAAGGAGCTACCTGTAGATCACGCCATGCTGGTGCAGGAACATGAGGGCCGACGTGACCTCGGCAGCATAGAATCGTGAACGAGGCTCGTCAAATTTTCGGGAGCGCTGAATCTGGAACATGAGGTCTCCACCATTCACATATTCCATGACGAAAAAGAGGCGGTCCTGCAGGGAGAGAAGAAAATGCCATTTAGGTCATTTTGTGGCAGCCTGTCTACACAGGCCACTATGCTGTGAGCCAGGGGTGACAACCAGGGCTCAAGGGGCAGGAAGGCTCAAAGGTGGGTAAATGCTGGGAGCACAGGAGCCAGCAAGAGGACAAAGGAATGAAGCACATAAGTTAGGGTACAGAGTGTGATTTAAAAACTTATTTCTTGCTGGGTGGGGAGGCACATGCCTGTCATCCCTGCTACTTGAGAGGCTGAGGCAGGAAGATTGCAAGTTTGAGGCTAGCCTCAGCGTCTTAGCAAGACCCTCAGCCACTTAGCAAGACTCTGTCTCAAACAATAAAAAAGGCTGAGGATGTGGCTCCGTGGCAGGTGCCTCTGGATTCAATCCCTGATACCAAAACAAACAAACAAACAAAACCCAACCACCACAACAATAAAACCTTTGTTCTCTGTCTTATTTAAATTGTCAGAAAGGAGAAACCAGGCCTTTGATTCTGGTCATAACTTGAGGTGTGGCTCTGGACAAGCCTTTGTCTTTTTGGAAGCACTGGGTTTCTTTCGGGTAGACTGAATAATGATCTTCCAAAAGATGCCCAGGCCTTAATCCCTGGAATGTGTGGCTCTTAATAGGAGAAAGAGTATACTGCAGATGTGACGAAGTCGGGGATTCTGAGAAGAGACTCGGCTGGATCACTGGGGTGGGCCCTGGGCAATCACTAGTGTCCTTCCAAGAGGGAGGTAAAGGGAGATTTGGGGAGCATGGGGAGGCAGTGGGACAATGGAGGCAGAGACTCGAGCGTCTGCAACCACAAGTCCAAGAACGCAGGCAGTGGCCAGAGGCTGGAGCCTCTGGAGGGAGAACAGCCTGGCACGCTGACCTCTGGACTGTGGCTCAGGAATGCTCTCTCAAACTTGTGGTCTCTAGAAATGTGAGAGGATGAATTCTGTTGGGTTAAGCCAATTAAGTTTGTGGAAATTTGTTACGGAAGTCCTAGGAAATTTAGAAGACTGTAATGTGAAATACCTTGCCATCAATTTTACAACAATAAATGATAATGGCTGTGAGACCTCCCGTCCCCTGGGAGGGCCACTTTCTGCTTTGGAAGATATTCCCTCTAGGATTCCTATGAATCCTCCCTCAGGCTTCAGGAAGACCCAAGACACTGCCAGACTTCACTGAGGGTGGCACTTCCTTATCTGCAATCTATGGTAACATGGGGAGAGGATATACTAAAATTCACTTTGGCAGTTTCTTTTTTCATTTCTTTCTCTCTCTCTCTCTCTCTCTCTCTCTCTCTCTCTCTCTCTCTCTCTCTCTCCCCCCTTTCTTCTTCTTCTTCTGCTCCTCTCCCTCTTCCTTCTTCTTCCTCCTCTCCTCATCCTCCTCCTCATACTCCTTCTCCTCCTCTTTCTCCATCTTCTCCTTCTCTTTCTTATTTATTTATTATTATTTTTGTAACACTGGGAATTGAACCCAGTAGCACTCTACTACTGAATCCATCCCCAGCTCATTTTATTTTTACTTAGAGACAGGTCTCACTAAGTTTCTGAGGCTGGGCCTCAAGCTTGAGACCCTCCTGCCTCGGCCTCTTGAGTAGCTATGATTATGGAGTATACCACTGTGCCTCCCTTGCACAGTTTTTTGATGACTATTTTCTAAGGAATGCTGTGCTAGACAGGCAATGAAGTATATCACTGCCCTGGGGAGAGTGGGGGTTATAATTCAGGGGTGCAGATGGGAGATGGAAAGAATGATTTTTAAACCACAGGAGCAAAGTTACACTGGGTATAGAAAGAATTTAGAGAAAGGACCACTTGTTGTCATGGAAGCGGGAGGGATGGGCTTTTTTCTTGAGAGAAAGAGAAGGTAGGGGAGGCAGGAACAAATTCCAGGACTTGGAAACAGAGTGATCATGTCCAGGGGCCAGCAAACAGATCAGATCAGCTGGGAGGAAGGTTAACAACAACGGTGTGAGAGGTCACAGGGCCAGAGTGCATCCTTAATACACAGGCTAACTGAAGCTTCCCGGAGCACATTGTTTTTCATTAAGACTGAGTAAAAATTACCAAGGGTACTTTCTTTATTCATGAAGTATATCTATTACGTTACAGGCAATAATCCCAGAGTCAATAAATGTCCTGACCATATCTCTGGAATTACTCAGACTTGCTGGTATTCAAGAAGGGTTAAGGGCTAAATTTCTCTTCCTTGAGTTGTTATATTTCCCTTTCAAGGCCTGCCTCATTTTCTCCCCAGGGTGAAGTAGCTGCCTTGCTGACTGTTCATGCAGTCATCCCTTCTGCATCCAAACCTTTTTTTCAAAAACCAATGCTCAGTAAACTATGAAACCAGTCTAGGTGTCCATCAATGGAAGAATGGTTAAAGAAAATGTGGTATATATATATACACAATGGAGTTTGATTCAGTCATAAAAGAAAAATGAAATTATGTCACTTGCAGAAAAGTGGATAGAACTTGAGACATGATGTTAAGCAAACCTTTCAGAAGGTCAAGGGTCATATTTTTTTTCTCTCATATGTTGGAAGCTACAGAGGAAAGGGGGGGAAAAAAGGTAAGGGGAGACAGGGATCTCATGAAAATCAAAGGGAGATCAGTAGAGGAAAGGGACCAGGGGTTGGGAAGTAAAGACAGAGGGAGGAAGTGCTGGGGAGTGTGATATTGGCCAAATAAAATTGTTATATTATGTGCATGTCCCATATGTAACAAATCCCATCATTATGTGCAACGATAATGCACCGATTAAATAGAAAAACATGGATAGAGGAAACAAAATGTTCAGGCCCACTCCACCCCAACAAAATCAATATCTCTAAGTGGCGGGGAACCCAGGCTCCCCAGGTGATTTCAAAGTGTGGCCAGGGTTGAAAATCATGGGCTCTATCTGGCTTTTGTCAAGGTATTTTATATCTGTGTGGTTGATTGTGGATTATACGACAGTCCTTTTTGTCTTTTTAAGGATTCTCCCAAGAACAGGAGTTCTCCAACTTTGCATCAGAATCACACAAGGTTAACTAGATCACGGATTCCCCCAGATTTCTGAAGATCTGGAGTGGAGCCTGTACATCTGCATCCGGGTGATGTTGATGCTGCTGGTCCAGGGACCACACTTTGAGAAGCTCTGCTCTAGAGCACTGGGGGCATGCCTTGCACATGACAAGTAGAGCAGCAGCGTCCACTTCACACTGCCCACAAGCTGAACCACACCATGAGAAACAGCCACTGCAACGCCCTCCAGAGCCACCCACCCTGAACTCGGCTGCAGGAACAATGGAGTATTTCCTTGACTGTATTTGAAAGAATGCAATTCTCTAAAGGGGGAAATCCTCCCTTTCCCGCCCTCTTTCCCGGCTCATTTTTATTCTACAACATTGGATACACGGCATTGAAGCTTTGGGGCTGTGGAGTGAGAAAAAAAACTCCCACCTCGACTTCATCACTCCCTGCTTGTGTAACCTCAGGCAAATGACTTCATCTCTCTCAGGGCTCAGTTTCCTGACCTGTAGAACTGAAGATAATAGGACCTGCCTTACGGGCTTCTTGTGAGGATTAAATTCCATGTTAAAATGCCTGGTTCATAGTTGATGCTCCATAAAGATTACCCATGTCTATTGTTACAGAGAGTATAGTAGCCCTTAGCATTATTAGCATTATTATCAAGTGTTTTTTTTTTGTTTTTTGTTTTTTTTTTTTGCTAACCTCCCCATGACTTTCTTCCCTAATTACCTCCTCTTCCAACCAACACTGCTTTGTGGCTTTCAGGAGAAGAACCCCAGGGGTTCTTCTCCCTCCCTCTCTTATATGCTTCTCCTCCTCCCAACCATGAAGTGCGGGAACCCCACAGGACCAGGACCCAGCCCTCTTGTTTCCCTGCTCTGCTGCTGGGTGACCTTGTCCACACCCACAGTTCCTAGGTCCTCTACACGGATGACTCCCAAACTTAAACCTCTCCTCCGGGCTTCAGTTTCACTTATCCAAGAGTGTTTCTGCCCTCCCCCAGATGCCTCACAGCCACTCAGACCAACATGTTGAAACAGACTCCATGATTTTCCCTAACAGACTGGCCGTTGGCCAGGGCTGCCTGGCTCAGGGCAGGCCTACACCCTTCAGCCAATTTTCTAAGTCAGAAACCTGGAAATCAAGCTTGATCCTCCCTCTCCCTCATCCCTCACATCCATCACCGAGCCTTGCTGCTCCTACCTCTTGTGTCTCTGCACCTCTCACCTTGGCCTGCGCCTCTCCATTTCCATGACCATCATCCCCGCCAAGTGACTGGCATCTCTGTCTTATCTAGATCCTTGCATTGACTCTTAGCGATGTCCCCCACATTTATTCCAGCACCCCATCCACATGCTAGTCATTCTATAGGCAGAGGGACTCTGCTGGACGGGAAACCCAGTTGTAACTTAACCCCTTTTCTCTCTCACTTTACTGTTTAATTCTTTCTTTTTTAAATAAATATTTTTTAGTTGTCAATGGACCTTTATTTTATTTATTTATATGCAGTGCTAAGAATTGAACCCAGTGCCTCACACATGCTAGGCAAGCACTCTACCACTGAGCCACCACCCCAGCCCCTCTGTTTAGTTCTTTAAAAGCCTTCTTGTTACTCTTAGAATAAATAGCTTCAAGGACTCTACAATCTTCCGAGTCTTTGCCTTCCAGCTAGCCCTTGTTGCCTCTGCCCCAGGACCTTGACTAATCTCCTCTCATGATGAATCCTTCCTCGTCCTATAGACTTATAACAGTGCAGTCAACTATTCTTTGGGGAAGCTTTCCAATGACAAGGTCAAGTCCTCCCATGATGTGCTACACTTGTTATTATGAGATTCAGCCCAGACGAGGTTTTATTGTGTAATTGATTCATGATTTTCTCCCTCAGGAATGTGAATGCTCCAGACAGCAAAGACTGCTGGTAATTCTGGCCTGTCTTTTTAAGGGATTTAGAGACTCCTGAAAAGACCCAGGTGTGGTGG